GATGCCTCATTAGCGGCTGTTGCCATGGTAGTGAAAAATACCGTTTAATTTACAGTGAATAACCGTAAATTGACATTCCCAGAATTCCCTGCGTTACATTTCAAATTGGATGTTTTTTTGTTGAAATAACTGTTTCTTAGTTTTTGCTTATCAGTTTTGTATATCAGGGTTGTGTGTTACACCTAATGTTGTTAAATTAATGTTTATAGCATTATTTCAGTTTCATGTGTGTTACCATGATGGTGTTTAGTGTTTGTGTGAATGACACTGTGCACCTTCTATATATGTTATTATTTAAAAGCTGCTTGTGTTGGGCTTTGGTTCATCATGTGACTTTCTCATCACCACCTGCATTGGGTGGTTATCAGTGTATTACAAAGGTACAAAACAGATTTCAGTACTTCAATAAGGTTGGTATATTAACATTATATCAGTTAATGAAATACGTTATTTAACTGTAAATTTAAGTTAAAACCGTAAAACCTAAAACGTTGCTACTGTATTTTTTACAGTAAAATTCCGGCAACCACAGCTGCCGGTTTTTTTACCGTAAATTTTACGGCTTTTTTTTTTTTACAGTGTACATAATCCGTCCACTAACCAGAGGTCGCGCAATGTTGTGGCATTTTAGAAAACTAATTGATTCCATTCCAAGATGGCGGACGTGCCAAAGTGTCTGAAGCAGAGGGATGTGGCTTCTACAAATACACATCTATGTTCAAAGAGTTGCTTTGGTGTTCTGAATGGTTTTTAGTGGGCATTGCTAGGAGGATGCCACTGGCTCAGGTCAGAAGAGAACAAGTCTTGTGTTTTGTGACACTGGAGACGCTCTCTGACTGACTGTTTCTATAGGCTGTGTGAGTGAGTGGACATCTCCACCCAAGGTCAACAGGTCACCATGCAGACAATATGCTGTTTTGTGGAAGTGTGCTGAACATACGGGACCTTATTACGGACTTTACAGCTGTTCTCTTTCTCCCAGTAGTTTCTCACTCTCTGTCATCCACAGTTCAATTGTTCCACGTTCTTTTCTTTAGCTGTTTGGCAACTTACTTTTCTCTGTAATTCAAATTTCTTTCTTTTTTTTTCGTACTCAGTTATTTTTGTCCCTGTCTGTCTCTAAAGCCTGTTTTTCCTTTTTTAGCTCACAACTTTGAAATTCATTATTACACATACATTACAGTTCAAAAGTTTGGGGTTGGTAAGATTTTTAAAAAATGTTTTTGAAAGACATCTCTTAGGCTCATCAAGGCTATATTTACTTGACCAGAAATATGGTATATTTACAAGTATTGTTACAGCTAAAATTAACTTTTCCAATATACTTTAAAATGTACTTATTCCTGTGACGCAAACCTGAATTTTCAGCATCATTACTCCAGTCTTCAGTGTAAAATTATCCTTCAGAAACATTTCTGATTATTATCAATGTTGAAATCAGTTCCACTGCTTAATATTTTTGTGAAACCATGCTAATTTTTTTCAGGATCTTTTAATGAATAGAAAGTTCAAAAGATCAGCATTTATTTGAAATATTTATCTTTTCTCTTTACTGTCACTTTTGATCAATTCCTTGCGGAATATTAATTTCTTTACAAAAATGAAAATAAATTCCTACTGACCTCAAACGTCTGAACAATAGTGTATAACGTCAGTTGGGGCCATTTTTGGTCAAAAAATAAAGACTTTTATTATGCATATTGCATAAGAACTTTTATTATGCCTCTTTTTTATTATGACTTTTATTTTATTAAGATTTTGCTTTATGCTTTTATACTATTAATATAAGTCTATTCAAGTCTTTTCCTCACACAAAGCAATCGTGTGGCTTCAGAAGACCAAATGAGTCTATATAGTTTTATTGCAAGCAAAAGCAGCTTGGATAATCTTCAAAACATCTTTTATGTTGCATGTGAGAAAGAAAATTTGCAACGGAATATGGGTTAATGATGACAGAACTTTCATTTTTGTCCCAGCTATTCCTTTAAGGACAGCGATGTGGACAAAAACAAGATAGCACATTAAAACGCTCTGCTGATGCTCCTTCCAGATTTGGTCGTGTAAATGTTTACTTCATGTTGCCCTCTAAAATCCTGTTGGTGTTACAGAAACAGGAGGTTCGATTCATCTGCAAGTCATGTTCTAAATAAGACTCTTGGCCTGCGGACAATCACACTCACATGTGTGCGCAGCGCTCTTGAATCGGGACAGTTGGTGGCACTAATTTGTCCATGTTTTTGGCACGCCACCTCCCTTTGGCATACACCCTCCCTAAGCTCCGGGTCTCTGCCATCTGCTATGTTTAACTGTGTTGGCCAGGGCAGAAACAGGCAAAGTGCCCACAGAGACACACTTCCAGACCTCGGCTGACTCCAGAGTCTCTTCACAGAGCCACTGGGAGCCCTTTCGTTTCTACCACAGGACTCTGATTCAAATATTTTGAATATATTAAAAACATTGTCAGAAATTTTTGTCAGTAAAAAAGATTATGCCAGACTTTTCCTGTTTTTGCTGTCAGGAATGTAATTCTTTTAAACCCTCATAATGCATTCAGCTCCATTTTGACCCCGAAATATAATTAATTAATTAATTAATTAATTTAGTACAAGATAAAAAAAAAAAAAGTTTAAAAAGAGATATAACCATGTCAAAAATGTATCAGTGGTAATAGTATCAACAGAGACTTTACAGATATTTATGCAAGCCTGGTTTTGATCTATGAGTTGGATTTGTCTCAAAATATCTTTGTAAAATGTTTAGCCTCTTTCTCATATTTTTTGGAATGAATTTTGTCCACAAACATTAATATGCACAACTACTGATGAACCATTGCTGCATGAAAAAATGTATTGCCTTTACATCAGAGAGTCAAAGTTATGCAATTAAAATAAATATATAATGTGTTTAAACCACATTTCAGAGTAACATTTATGTTGTTTTGTTAGAAAGAATATGTAGTTTCACAAATTTGGTTATGAAGTTATGACAGATTATACTGATGATATAATATGTAATTATACAGTAATTCTTAAGATTATACTGTATACTCTCAGAAATTATATATGATGATACATTGAAATACAATTTCTCATGAATATTGAAAAAAAATGTTTCTTGCATCACAATGATTTTTTCTGTTGTTTATGTAAGATTTGGAATTTCACAGAATTTCTTAATTTCTTAAAGGGGTCATCGGATGCCCATTTTCCACAAGTTGATATGATTCTTTAGGGTCTTATTGAAAAGTCTATAACATACTTTCAGCATGCCGTTCTAGTCCGTGTTGCTTTAAATGCTAATGAGCTCTGCTGACCCCGCCCCTCTCTTCTGTGGGGAGACAAGCAGTACTGTTTACTTCAGCCGCGAAACTTGTTAACTAGCACACATTAGGAAAGGCGATTTGCAAAGATTCATAAACAAAACCCTATACTCACTTCTGTAGATGAAGCTGGATCACGAATGATTTGCGTGAACATAAACGCATTTAGGCAGATCGGGGATAAGCGCATTCCTTTCAAAAACGAAAATAACGTTAATCCTCTGCGTCTTCAGCGGCTCAGATGTCGGGAGTAATTTTTATCATTATAGGATGGATGTGTACACACACTTTCAACACACATTTATGTTCAAACAACAACAAAAGTGAATTTTGCATCCGATGACCCCTTTAATAAAAAGAGGCTAATATAGTAATAACATGGTAATAACAGTAACATTTAAAACTTTTACATTTTTTCACATTCACTCATTAGTGAGATGCTATTGAGCAGACACAATATAGTTTTAGTTACAAAATATTAAGTTATAACTGTTTTATATGTTTAAGTTCCACTGTGTCCAAATAAAACTGGGAATGCAAAAATTGTATGCAGATTTTGAATGCATTATGAGGGTAATAAAGCTGTTTTCTTTATGATGATATCAGAACAGTTGTACCACATTGATTAAGTTAAAATACTCCAATCTAAGTTTCTATCTTTAATAGCACACATCTGAAATGAACATGACAGCTCCTGTGAGAACAGCAAACACATGAGTGAATGTGCCGGGCATTGATTTGTTTGGGATATGAGTCTAAACTGTACGAGAGCGAAAGCGTGGGAGAACTAACACGAGAGAGAGAGAGAGAAATGTGGGCATGTGAGGTGAACATGTGTGTCTGAGAGAAAACGACATTAAAACACGCTTTTTTCATTTTGTGATACATTATTGCACATTTGCTAATTTCATTATTATTATTATTATCATCATCTTTTACTCAATGAAATACGAGTTTGCTAAGACTTTAAGTGTATAAACTCGCATTTGAAATGCCGATCTTTGGTTCCACATGCAAAATAGGAAAATCATAGAAAAATAATTTTTGGCTTTCATCAGAGCTTCTTAAGCTTCTTAAAGCTCTGCTGTCCCAGTGACACAAAAGCAAGCGGGTGAGGAGGCAGGTACGGCCTTACGTGACCCCTGGAAATCAATCTCTTTCGTTCTTTCTTTTTTTAGACAAGACATGTTCTCCTAAAATTGCACATAAACTAAAGTTAATCCACAGTACTGCTGTGCAAAGATCTAAAACATACATCAAGCAGATACCAGCTGCTCTGAAAATGTATTTTCCAGGGAAACATTTTTGTTGTCACTATGAACAATGAATGTGATAACTGCTGTGCTGCACACTTAATACAGCACATGTGGCATGTGACTGCCATAGCGCAATTTTTAATAGACCACCAATCAATCTATCCCTAAGGCTGACTGAACCACCTTTTAAAAACACATTTGTTGACAGACAACTGGAACCCGAGAAGGAAAACATGATGTGTTCCTGTTGTAGCTGTAGAGCTTGATGCTAGCAAGGAAAAAAACGTATAGGCTAACCTAAATGTAAAAATGGATTAAAGCATCCACAAAATGCAGGAATGCAAAATGTAACATGGTTTATCAACACAAGGATGAACAAAAATTAAGTTCAGTCAAGAAGTAATTAAGCATATAAATTGGCTCACCTGCATCAAAGTCTGGATATGAGCGGCACAACGACATCAGACAGCGAGGAAAAAGAGAGAGACAGTCAAATTAAATGCTTGTTTTTCAGTCGTTCTCCATTTTACAACATGCTGCATGCATTTATTCATGAACAACTGCACCTGAATTCTACAACACACACATCCATCATCTTGCTTAAAGGTGGGGTAAGTGATTTTTCAAAAACGCTTTAGAAAGCCGCATCCAGTGTAGACCATAGATATGTATATATATATCTATGGTGTAGACAGCATCACTGATTATAATGAGTTCTATAGTATTTTGTCGCGCCGCGCCACTCGCGTCCGGTGTAGACACGGTGTAACATTGGTTTTGCTTTGTTTCACAGAACTAATCGTTGCCTGGGTTGTGTACGTATGTGTGGGGCGGAGCTATCAAAATAGGGGCGAGACCCTTTTGGGGTAAGGGCGTGCATGTTTTGGTGATTTCAAATGTCAATATTGGCTACCAGAAATCACCTTACCCCACCTTTAATTGGGCACATTAGTCATGATCATTAATGGAGCCAAACTGCCATGTCCAGATCTCTATGATTGAAGCAAATAGTCCCTGTGATGCCACAAAGCTATCATGAGCATCACTGTGAGGCGTATAGATTGATTTTAGAATTAGTTTCTGCCTTTACTCAAATCAGATTCATTTTAAACCTGCCGGGGCAAAATAAACTTGCTTTTGTCCAGAAATGCCTTATCAATACTGGAATCTGAACAAAGACAAGCTGAGACAAAGATTCAGGGTCACAGGGAAAAGTCAGACAGTTTCTGGCCCGGATCTGTTGGCAGAAGCCCTGCTGGCTTGCAATGTGCTAACAGATGGATGTTAGAGAGCGTGTGTGTGTGTGTGACCAAATTCCCGGAGAGATCTGGAAAGGACAGGACATATCATCCTTTATTGATATGGTGATGAAGCACTTTGAACAAACGCACAACAAACAAACGACACAAACGGAGGTGAACATCTGCAGCTGAAGCACAAGCACATGAAGGAAGAGTGTTTCTTCTAGAACCGTTATCACTAGCGGCCAAGTTCAGACACGCTGAGGTTTATGCGAACTGTCACGAACATGAGGGCAATGGGGTTGAGTGCTAGGACAATAGATATAAATCTGACAGGAAGCGTGTCGGTGCTTCAGAGGAAATAACGTCACCTGACACCTGATTCTCAGCAGAAAACTACTTCCTACCACTTTTTATTTTAGGGTTAATAATTCAGTAGTCACATCTAGATCTGTCGAACCAGATTAAATTGAGGACCCGAGGTGGGAAGACTGTACGGGATATGGGTTTCATGTATTGAGAGGAAACTGTTCTTTTGTTTCTTTGATGGCTGGAATTCATTTCACATCACCCATTAGATGGAAAGAGACCGTTAGAAGAGGAGGAGAAAGAGACATAATGAAGATACAACAGAAGAGAGCGAAAAGGTAGACAAGAAAGATAGAAGGTCAAAGGGGGAAGATAAAAGAACAGATATGGAAAATAATGAAGGAAGCGATGATGTTCTCACTCTTTGCTGTATGGTGGCATGTTTGTGCTCCATCTCTCTCTTCTCCACAGCTGAATCTATGACCAGCTGATCCAACTGAAACATATGAACGATGAACATTGTTAAACGGAAAAAAATATTTTTTTGAAGTTGTCAAAGCAAACATTATTGGAATATGTTTTACAAGAAAATATTATTTCAATCTTTCTATTTCAAAATTTCATATTAAATTCAATGTGTTATTTGCTGTTTTACTAGCAGTTTCTGAGTGAATTTTTTTTCAACACCACATTTTTCATTGTATATAGATTATTTTTCACCATATTTATATTATGTAGATTTTTTTTTGCAAAAGGACTCAAAGTGCAGAACTGAATTTTTGTTTTATTGTTTTTTGACACAGTAAGTAGTAAATGCTTCTTTAAAAAAAAAGACTATAAATATTTATTATTATAATTATTGACATTTTATGTGTAATTATATTTATTATTTACCATTATTGTTGTTATTTTATTTTTAATCCAAAATACATTCATAATTTAATTTTGTAAATACCATTATTGAGTCCTGTTCTTTAGAGACTAACTATGGTGCCATTTATTGGTATTAAAGAACCAATAAGTTAAAAAGTGTGAATACAGATAAAAATAATGGTCAAATGTCAATGGTCTTTCTCTTTTAAAGACAACATGAAACCATATTAGCAACACATTTAACCTTGATAATGTGACATGGCACAACAATATTTAGTAGGACACAATTCTAATTCATTATTATATATTACATTATATTACATTACATAATAATGGCGTTGATTACATGAGCAAAAATGATGAGCAAGTTACTAATAAAATATATATCTAATAAAACATTGAGAATAAACCTTTTTTCTTTAGAAAAACATGCAGCAATGAATCATGCACAATAAGACTTTATTAATTAAGTAAATAGGGTGAATGTTATTTTGAGTTTGTCTTCAAGCCTGTCTCAGACAGATGCAATGCACCTGTCAACCTCAAGGATTGACATTATCTCTCATGTTCAGTCATTAGGCCTGTGTTAATTTGGAGCCTGGGGCTCGTAACCACATGTCCACGCAGGTGTCGGGGGAGAGCAGGTGAACAGAGGGCCCTAATGAGCGGGAGTTAATGAGCTGCTGATCCTGGAGAAGCAGATGTGTGTGTATCTCACCTCAGCAGCCAGCTTCTTCATGTAGGGGTCGACCTCGTCTAAGATGTTGAAGCCCTGCTGGAAGAGACTGTACTGAGCCTGCATGAACGACAGCATCTGTGGAGGAGACGAAATGATCAATACAGAAAACTACACAGGAGGAGAATGCTGGTTTATCATGGCATATGAACCCACTCACCGAATCCAAAATTTCAAATTTCTTTTTGGCCTGAAGAACATTGATCTGAGAAAGATTTCAAGAGAAGAGCACAGTCATTAGTAGGTGCTTTTAACAAAAGTATCCTGGGATTCAAACCTACAACCTTTGGTTACCAGCCCACTAAGTCATTTCACCCCAAAGCTGTAAGTTATGACAGAAACTAACCATTTTTGGGTAGAATCATGGTACCATGAGGCAAGAAGATCCTGGTGAAGAACTGAGCGCCTTGAGACTTTTAGGGCCCCTGGTACTGGCCCCCAATCAATTCTTGGCACTTTTAACCCATAACAACCACATTTTTAAACTTTTACCTAGACCTTAGTTTGGGAAAACTATGCATGTGTCTAATTTCAGATCACACATGACCCAGCTCCACACAGTGGCCGTTAGGGACACTACAACCGATTTTTGTCCTTGGCCATTAACATATTACATATTTAACAGCCTCATAAAACAGAAATGATCTCAGATATTAAGCTTATGACACAATATAATGGCTACTGACCATTTCTCTATAGCAAATGAAAAGCACACCATTTTGCATTTGTTTTTTTTTACCAAAACAGCCTTGGGTCACTTAACCAAAATAGCATAGCCATTACAGCAATCTTGTCAACTAACCGAGTTCTCTAAAAACAGAACATGTATGGTCAGTAAAATGGGGAAAAAGCATAAAATCACAGCCCTCACAGGACACAAGGGCAGGAGAGTACAAAGGAGGAGGTCACGTTATGCTATGAAATGAGAGCTAATGACGGCCGTGTAAAGATGGGAAGAGGAGCAGTCGGTATTTTTGCCATAGTATGGAAGCCAATGGGGACCATCAACTGTTTGGTTGCCAACTTTCGTCAAAATATCTTCTTTTATGTTCCAAAGAAGGAAGACACTCAACAGTTTAAAGGGGTCATATGATGCGATTAAAATTTTTCCTTTCTCTTTGGAGTGTTACAAGCTCTTGGTGCATAAAGAAGATCTGTAAAGTTGAAAAGACTAAAGTCTCAAATCCAAAGAGATATTCTTTATAAAAGTTAAGAGTCAGCCACACCTACCTAAAATGGCTCGTTCTAACACGCCCCCACGTCTACGTCACGATGTGGGAAGATTTGCATAACGCCGCTCAAATGTTCACGCAAAGAAAGAAGGCGTAACTTTGATTCTCGCTGTAGTATTGTTGTTGCCGCCGCCATGCCGTGGAGACTTTTTTTAACCTTAAATCGCATAAACACATTTCATTACACCAAATAATGTTCTTTTTAGCTACATCATATGATCCCCTTTAAAGGTGGGGTATGCATTTTTTCAAAAACGCTTTAGAAAACTGAGTCGGGACGAGTACCAAAACAAACTTGTAGCCAATCAGCAGTAAGGGGCGTGTCTAGTCATGATGCAGAGCAGAGAGCGTTCAGTGCACGGGTCGGACATTAGCCGAGCGACGACAGAAAGATAGAAATGGCGGATAAAAAACAAAAGAGGGAAATGTCTGCGGAAGAAAAGAAGGCTTACAATAAGGCAAGAAGTAGGACCTGTGTAAACATCGGATCAGTGTTTCACAGAACTAATCATTGCCTGGGTTGCGTATGTATATGTGGGCCGGAGCTATCAAAATAGGGGCGAGATCCTTTTGCGGTAGGGGCATGTTTTTTTGGTGATTTGAAATATCAACATTGGCTACCAGAACTTTAAGGGTGAGTAAATGATGACAGAATTTTCATTTTTGGGTGAACTATCACTTTTATTTTGAAATACCTGCAACACATAGTCCAGGGCGAGATGTCGGAAGCACTTCCGGGTCGTGATGAGGGTACTGCTGGCCTCCTCTACCTCATGCGGTTTGTTACGAGGTGCCTGTGCGTTCTTCACCTGGGCGATCTCCATATCCTCCCGCACCTTATCGAACTGCTTCTTCGTCTCTTTAAACTTTCGAACATCCCTGTGTATTGTCACATACAGAGACATATTGCAGGGTAAGACGCGCACATCACAGAGGGCAGGGAAAAGGGGGGAAAAAACTGAAACAAGGGCAGGAAAAAGAATAAAGGACTCACTCCTTCACAAAATTGTGCAACTGTTGCTTTACGGATCTCTGGGTCTGGTCAAACAGGATCTGTAAAAGATACAAAAGGAAAACAAATGTATCAGCATCAAACAGAAAAATATTGAGTTGGCAGAATAGTATTTTGCATAAAACAGGGGGCATTGGAAACAGGTGAAAAAGAAAAGCATATTTTGTATAGAGATTGCCGGAGCAATCCTTTGCATTTATTGAATATAAATAATTAAATATAAAATTAAATTAAACAATTTAAAATAGTGTAAAAATTATGCTTGATTAATACCAAAATCAAAAATTTTGACAAAAAAAAATAAAAAATCCTCTAGAGGAAGACCAGTTTCTGTGTACCACTTTAGTAGCATTATACACCCAAAGGCTTTGAAACATTAAGACCAGTCTGGATGTAGGCTAGTTGAATATTAAGGGTGCACTTCTCTCAAACCACCAGCAGATGGCAGAGCAGTCGCAGGCCTGTGTCTGTAAACCCAAAACACTGCACCAGAGCCCCACACCCATCTCATACTCTCTCACGGTCGGTCACGGTGGGCGACTGCAGGTCACAGATGCATCGCACAGGATGGGTGCTGGGAAACAGTGGCATCATCCATGCCACGACAGGCAAACACAGCTCATGGAGTCAAGCCCTGGGGGTCTTGCAAGTAAGCCTGTCATGGAAGGTTTTAAGAATGAAGGCATGTCAGTGCCGGTGTCATGTCACTGTGGATCATACATGTCAGCAGAACAAGACTAGAGGAAAAGCTTTACGCTGCAATCATCTCGATTCTGGTCACAAACGCAGCAGCGATAAGCTGCAACGAGACAACATGTGACAGAGCGTCACATGCAGAACAAGACTAGAGGAAAAGCTTTACGCTGCAATCATCTCAATTCTGGTCACAGACGCAGCAGCTTTATGGCAGCGATAAGCTGTAACGAGAGCACATGTGACAGAGCATGTCACATGGAACAGGAGGGCAACATGTCTTGAGGGTAAAGCTGGCATGTGAGAGAGGATGAGAGAGAGGGAGTACAGGGAAAAGGGGAAGCAGACAAGCTTAGACATTTGCATTTTGCACAGTTCCATGAAGTCCCAGCCTTTGCATTTTACAAAGGACTAGACTAGAATCAGCATTTTCTATCCATCCACCTCAAACGTCCTAATTCTCTCATTAGTGATGTTTAAGTCAAGTATCACTTTTACTACTGCTAAAACTTAAGATTTGAACATTCCCTGAACCCAGTGTACCTCAGTTTTCATGTTTACACTAAATTTCAGCATTGTATGAGCCAGATTTTTCTCTGTACAGATTTACTCTGTACTCTCAGCTCGCAGTAATATAGTTGGTCCATAAGGTGGCAACACTGACCCGACAGTAACAGGTCGACACCATAGACTCTAAAAAAGATGGCCGACGTGTCTCCATTTTCTTCCACTGTAGAAAAACGAAACCAAAATATCCCAGAAATGGCCGCTGTCATCTTGTGCCGAGGTGGATCCGCAGAATCAAAGTCTCGCACATATTCTCGCAAACTCAATTGCAAGCACACAATTATGATGCCATGATGCCCCATTATTATAGCATCAAATAACTAACTAAGACCAAACTTATTCGCAAAACAAAAACTTGAACATACCTCAGCATGATAAGAGCTACCTAAAATGACAGAAACCATCTCTGGGAACATTTTTATTTGAAGTGTAATGCCATTTTTTTTTTAGTTTGGCTCATTTGTTTACATGAAGGCGGCGGGGTTTTTGACCTATACTGCAGCCAGCCACCAGGGGGCGATCGAGATATTTTAGCTTCACTTTTCAGGATGTGTTCACAGCACACGATGTTTACACATATTTGGCGATTTTTTTTTTTTTTTGGCTTTAGCTACTTTTACTTAGCAAGATTTGGCTTTAGCTACTTTTCATTGAAGGCATTTGGCAACACTGCACAATTGGTTGAATCTGAAATGGATGAGACGGAACAACTACTGGAGATACAACAACAATTCTATAATGCACCACAATAACGAGTGTACAACCAATGTACACTCAATGGCTAGAGAATACCCATAATGCACTGTGAGGGTCGTGCTGAAGGAATTCCAGCGTCTTGCTAGAAGACGGTGCTTGCAGCTGAATCATCCATTCATCCATTTTCCAAAGCGCTTGTTCAATGTGGGTACAGCGTAACATAAACTTATTTTAATTGATTATGGAATAGTTTAATTAGGGTTTATACAATGCTAGTTTCCATGACAGAGTTTGAAATGAATCTTTTCATTACTACTGGAGCTGCCAGCTAAGTTTTCTAATGATTATTAAACAGCAAGCACAAACTATACAAAAGCAGCAGTCGTTCCGGCGTATTCAGTGGACATTTTAGTGACTGCAGTAACTTGAAACACCCTAGCAACCACATAGCAACACTGTAGCATTGTGTTGCCAAGTTCTACACGAGTAAGTGCCACTCCCATTTTCTTCAGATTAATGTCTAATTAAAGAGTTCAGAGCGCATCTGTGTTAAACACTGTTCAGCAGGATAATTAACCAGCATGCTCTTGTGAGCTCTTAATGACTCCACATTGTGGTCACATCTCTAGACGTCGGCATCACACCTTCTCTTTCACGTTCTCACTTTCTCTGCACTGTGAGACCTCTCTTTAATTGCATTTCACGTCATCCTCTATCCTTGTTTTACCTCAGATCTTCTCTAACATGTGAGCGTCACTGATGGCGTGAGCTCGGGTGACAGTCTAAGAAAGACATCAAGAGTCTGAGGATGAGTGACTGTAGGCGACTGTAGAGAGAGACCGGAAAAGATCTGAATGATTCGATGAAAGCGTGTGTGAGAGGAGGTTTAATCGTGGCCTGCAGCCCGCCGAACGCCATAGCCATAACAAGACTTGACAATTTTATTCCATGTCATTTTGATCACTGAAATGTTGAAATGTTTTAAATAAATGCTGTATATATATATATATAAAGGCTAAATGTTCTTGTAATGCATGTTTGCTTTTGAAAATTGTTAGTAGTAAAATTTAATATACTAGTTAATAAGATAAAAGTTTGTTTTAAAGTTAGTTTGTTTTACTATTTTCTAAAAGTCCATCACTGAAGGTAAACACAAAAAGGCTGAAGAAAAAGGCTGCCCATGGAAAAGCAAACCGTCCCATCCAGATGTTCCAAACTGGCACAAGGAACAGTCTAAGAAAGACATCAAGAGTCTGAGGATGAGTGACTGTAGGCGACTGTAGAGAGAGACCGGAAAAGATCTGAATGATTCGATGAAAGCGTGTGTGAGAGGAGGTTTAATCGTGGCCTGCAGCCCGCCGAACGCCATAGCCATAACAAGACTTGACAATTTTATTCCATGTCATTTTGATCACTGAAATGTTGAAATGTTTTAAATAAATGCTGTTCTTTTTAACTTTATTCATCAAATAATCCTGTAAAAAGTACCACAGGTTCCCAAAAAATATTAAGCAGCACAACTTTTTCCAACATTGATGATGAGCAGTAATGGAAGTGACACGCTTTGGAGGCAGACAGCATGTTCAGCACTTGGCTGCAAGCTGTTGGAATAGTCTGCATGCGACTCTGAACTGCCTGCTCAGCTTTTGACTTCCTGTGTAAAAAACAAAAACTGTTCCATACGAGACCACTTTACAGAGCCCGGCTGCCAAACGGCTGGGCCGCTCAAGAACTGCATACTTAAATTAGTTTACTTCAAAAAATGTGTTGCAGAAAGCATGCTGAGACATCGCAGGAAGAGAACAAGATCAATAACGCCGGTCAAAGGGTTCTGTGTTGCTTTCAAGTGGAAAGAAAGTAAACTGGGTTTCAGTTGTGGTAAACCAAAAAATGAAAATCTTGAAACGATTAAGAGTATTAGCCGATTCTTACTTCTGGAAATGTGCATGTTACATAATGCAGCAATAAGAGAGCTCTGGAGATTTTAGCAGGCAGTAAAATGCAAAGTCGATGTGCTGAAAGGCAACTAGGAACTGCAGTAAAAGTTGTATGACAGCTAGAACTTCATAAGTCGACTACAGTCTTCAACCGCATTAATGTTCATTACATATTTTATATTCAGTCATCAAATCTTGTACTAGCAACAGTTTATCTGTCATTAGCAACTTTAACCAAAAAAACTAAGGTGTTTCTCAAAACCGAGACACATTAGACTTCAAAATAAAAACTTTTAAGCATCTTAAATCATTTTTTTTGTTTGTTTAAAATATCTCACAAATGCAAATATGTCTTCTCATTCCATTCCCTACACTCTCAGAAAAAAAGGTACAAAAGCTGTCACTGGTGTGGTACCTTTTCAAAAGGCACACCTTTGTACCTAAAGAATCCATATTGGTACCTTAAAGATACATAAGTACCTAAAGTGTACATATTAGTACCTAAAAGGTACAAAAGTGTACCTTTTGAAAAGATACTGCCCCAGTGACAGCTTTTGTACCTTTTTTTCTGAGAGTGTATGTTGTGAATCAGTAGACACAAAGACACAAACAGAGCCTTATTCCACTAAACACTGAAATATGATATATCCTCAATTTCACTCGGCATCAGAGAAAACAAAAATCAATATTTTCAGTACATGAACCTACTGTAATGAGCAGAACTCCCAAGAGCCAGTGACATTGATGCCACTGACGACAAACTTGGTGCAATGCGTCTTGAGGCACAGAGTTTGATGTGTGCATATTCAAAGTGTCTTGCCTAGATAAATCTACCCAGAAATGAATCTTAAAGCAGTGTAGAGGTTGTCAGACAGTCGATATAACAGCACAGCTTCTGCAGGTATGACAGCACTCCTGTTCTCACCTTTAAAATCACAAGTGAAAAACATTCCCTCATTACTCATTCCCTCATTTCTATGGCCTCTTTTTACACTCCTCACTGCCAAACAGATAATATCAGTAATTACACTCAGTGGGGAGGTAGTGAGGTGTCACTTTGACAGGTTAGTTCAATTTAAGACTGCCTGGATTCCAACAACTCAATAAACTAAAAAAAATGGACCTATTTACACCGCCTGATCAAAAGA